ACATTTCCTTTTGATTTTTCATAATGCACACACAGCCAGAGGGGGGAAAAATCTTCTTCCATATAATTGGTGCTATGGGCTAAATTATGTGCCCTCAAAATTTGTATATTAAAATTCTAATTCCTGGGATCTCAGAATGTAACCATATTTGGAGATAAGGGAGGTTTTAAGGCAATGATTAATTTAATATGGGGCTGGTAGGTCAGAGCCCACACCCATGTAACTAGTTTCCTTACAAAATGAGTCCACGCAGAGGAAAGGCTAGGGGCAAACACAGTAAGGTGGTCTTCTGAAAGTCACTGAGTAGGGGCCTTAGGAGAAAGCACACCTGCTGACACCTTCATCTTGGACTTCTAGCCTCTTAAGTGGTGAGAAAATAAATTCCTGTTATTTAAGCCACCCAATGTTTGGCATTTTTTTTTTTGTGGCAGCCCTAGTAATCTAAAAGAATTGGTGTCATTTTTTTCATATCTCATTTTAGATCATGAGCATTTATCCATGTCAATAAAAGTTCTTCAAGAGTTAACATGACACTATTGGTAAACATCATAATTTAATTAACTGTTCCACATTGTAAGACATTCAGCTTTTGTTCCTGTTTGCTAAAAGAACTTTCAAACTTGAGAATTAATGAGACCACAGGCCCCCAGGAAGGTCTGAACAGGGAACTACTGGGTTGATTACCTGGGATATAATTACGCTGACGATTTATTTCAAACAAGTATAGTAACATAGGCATCATATTTTCCACTGCAAACAATGCTGCTTTTGTGCAGTGGTGCCTGGTTATTGCTGTGACAGTTAAAGGCCTGTCAGCCTGTTCATTAGCAACATCATTTTGGGGGGTTTAAAACATAGCTATTAACATTTGATTTTAAATGAAACTTGGCAGAATCAATTTTTGCATTTTCCTTTTGAAACCTTTCATTTCTGACCTTTCATTGTGACTGGGTTTGAATTTCATTAAAACTATGAGGGAGATTACTAGCAAAAGTGTACTAGTTTTAGATTTTGTCTTTGGATTCCTCAAATCTGAAAGCTTTCTTTAAAGTATAATTTCATAGACCATTACTTGATCACATTGATTAGTTCAGCTTACCAAGTTATTCTGAAACAAAACCACAGAGATATTAAATCCTAATAAGATTTCATAACCCCCAATAGCTGCTTCTCAGCTACTTAACCCACAGCCTGATAATGCTTCTCACCAGTCTGAGGCAAAGAGAACAGATGCCTAGGATTCTACTCTGGTACATTATTTTATGAGAATAAACTTTTCCTGCAATGATACAATTTCATGGCATGATAGGAATACCACTAGATTGCTAATCAGAGATCTTAGATTTGAGCCAGTTCCTCTCACTTGATTGGTAAAGGCAATGTTAAGTGTAGCTCCCATTCTTCCTCACCCATCACAACTGTTAAGGGCTAAATGTGAAATAATGAGCATATGTGCTTCATAAAATGCAAATGGTAGTCATCATTACTGTGCAGTATGTAGGCGAAACTATGCTGACCTTTTCAAACAGATAATACACATATTGGTACTGTTTAGATTAGAATGGTGCACAGTGGGGAGAGGATCTCCTAAAACAACGAGAACAAGAAATTTCCTAGTCAAAGCATTTTCCAACCTGTCAGAGAACATCTTTCTAAAAGTGCACATTCCTATTTTGTCTGCTTTGAGGAATAATAGTTTTTGCTGTTGTTTCCACCATTATTTGAAACGCAGAGACACAACAGGCAGTAGTCTGCATTTCCTGGAGTTTGACTCACACTGTTATTTTTAGTTATTTAAGTTGATATTTTTAGGCAGTTTTTTTAGTTATTTACATGAAAAGTCAGCCACTTCTGTTTTAGTGTGATTTGCATCATATGCTTCTGATTCATTTGTATTAGTAAACTAAAATGACTAACCAATTGCTGTAGATTTGTTCATAGAGTTAACAACATTCAGTCTTTTTCATTTTAGTTTACTAATTGGAAACATCAGTAATGCGGCATGTACAAATTACTTGGGATTGGAGAATTCTTATTTGACTTTTTAACTATTTAATGAGGAACAATTAACAGGAGAAACATGCTAGTATTTGTAGAATGAAGGATAGGAAATACTAGTGTTAACGATAAAAGCTTCTTGGCTACAAAATTCTCAGATCCCTGATGATATCTAAGATTAATTTGTGTTTTTGAAATACAAGATAGATTTCCCCACTCCATCTACTACTACCTAACCTAGCAGTAGCCTAACCCATTAACCTTGGACTACTGTATGAACAGAATATAAACTTAGGTTGTGTTTGAGCCATTGTCCATTTGAGTGCATATTTTACTTTTCAGTATCTGGGTAATTTTTTTTAAACTGACCATTCTGGACCTACTGAACCAATGCTCTTGGGATGAACTGGAGGAATTCAACACACAGGGGTTTCTGAAGGGAAGCGTAGTTTGGGAATCACTGGATTAGGTGGCAAATTCATCACTGAAAAAGCTCTTGACTCCTACTTTAAGTCAGGTTATTCTTTTTACCTATTCTCCACCGACCCACTTTTACATCTCCTTCCTACCCTTCTTTGAAGGTCCCCCAAGCTACCTCCCCATGAAATTTGACCAGGACCTTCCAGAATGGGTCAGATAGCAACTAGCTGAGTTTCCTTCCACTTTTGTGGCACACTTTTGGTGGTAGATATTCTGTGTGCCTCATAGCAGTTACCAAGGACTTGTCTTCCTCATTATTAGAACCAACTAATAGCTTGGCCCTGGAGGAAGGGAGCTCTCCCTACTTCCCTTTCTTTACCATCTGACTGAGTACCTGTGCTCATTACTCTCACATATTCTCATATATTGTGAAAAATTCAATAAATATTTATCAAGTGAAATTCAAATCACAACTTCAGATTCCGAGAGGAAATGGTGCAAAGAAGGAAGTAAATTGACCCAGATTCTAATTCAATGATTTAGGAAAGGTGAATAATAAATCAAGCCCTGGGACAATCTGAGGTTCTTTGACATTTCCTTTAATTTCAAACTCTAGTTTCAGAATCTAAGTGTTTTTAAAAGATGTGTAGAAATAAGATAATGCTGAAGACTACACACTCTCTAGCAACACACTTTCCAGATAAAAATATAGGACACCTATTTAAATTTGAATTTCAAAGAAGGTACTTATATTTCAAAATTTCATTTGAGAAGAAAGAAAGAGAGCCCATCTGTTGGCTCATTTTCCAAATACTCAAAATGGTCCAGGGCCAGGGCTGAAACCAGGAGCCAAAAACTCAATACAGGACTCCCACATGAGTGGTTGACACTCTATTATGTGAGCCACTGCCACTGCCTCCGAGAGTGTGTACTAATAGGGAATGGAGTCAGAAACCAGAGCAAAGTAATGAACCCACGTGTTTCAATGTGGGACATGGACATTTTAAGCAGCAACTAAAACACTAAGCTGAATGCCCACTCTTAAAAAAAAAAAAAAAAGGCAGGAAATGTATGTCCCTTGCAATATCTGGGGCAATGTGAAAATAATTAAAATGTATCTGAAAAATTTTTTTAAAAAGATTTATTTATTTATATGAAAGTCAGAGTTACACAGAGAGAGGGGAAGCAGAGAGAGAGAGGTCCGATGGTTCACTCACCAATTGGCTGCAATGGCTGGAGCTGCACTGATCCGAATTCGGGAGCCAGGAGCTTCTTCTGGGTGTTCCACACGGGTGCAGGGACCCAAGGACTTGGGCCATCTTCTACTGCTTTCCCGGGCCATAGCAGAGAGCTGGATTGGAAGTGGAGCAGCCAGGTCTCAAACCAGTGCCCATATGAGATGCTGGCGCTTCAGGTCAGTGCATTAATCCACTGCTCCACAGTGCTGGCCCCAGTAAGACACTCTTTCTATGAACTTTGTGAAATATTCTCATATTAACTTTTCATATGATGTTCAAATTTAACTAGGTGCACCATGTAGAATCCTCTTCTTTCAAATTTATGCATCCAGAACCTAAAAATATGGTTCTTCTTATACTAATGTTTTAAAGATTTTATTTATTTGTGAGGTGGAGTTACTGACAGAGAGAGGGAGAGACAGAAAGGTCTTCCATCTGCTGATTCACTCCCTAGATGGCCACAACGGGTCAGAGCTGGGCTGATCCACAGCCAGAAACCAAGAGCTTCTTCCAGGTCTCCCACATGGAGACGCCCAAGCACTTAGGCCATCTTCCATGGCTTTTCCAGGACAGAAGTAGAGAGCTGGATCAGAAAAGAAGCAGCTGGAACATTAGCTGGCACACATATGGGATGCCAGTGCAACAGACAGCAGCTATACCCACTACATCACAGTGTCAGCCCCATACACATATGATCTTATTTGAACATAGTCTTTCTAAATGCAATCAAATAGATGCAATCAAGTAAAATTATGCCATCCTGGGTAAAGATAGACTTTAAATCCGGTCACTGATGCCCTTTGAGGAAGAGACACAGACAGACACACAGGGATGATTGTCTTGTGAAGACTGAGGCAGAAACCAAAATGATGTGTTTACAAACTGAGAAACACCAATGGGCTGCCAGCATCCACCAGCAGCTGGAAGAATAAAGGAAGTGTCCTTGCCTGGAGCCTTCAGGGAGAGAGAGCATGCCCTTACCTATATGTTCATTAGGAATCTTTAGTCTTTAGAACTGAGAAATTGTCTGTTATTTAAAGCCATCCACTGTGCATTACTTTTCAATGGTAAACCTTGGAAGCTAATATTCTGGGAGTTCTTTATTTTAACTTGTCCAGAGTGGTAATCTTAGGGAGGATCCCTGAAGTCTTCTAAGAATATTCATTTAGACAAATTATTAGGCATTGAATGACATCAGGATATATTTACTGTGCTATAGTTATATATATATATTTAGAACAGATTATTCAAATCATAATTTCAAGATATTTGAATTGATTCTGGGACGTGATAGCATTTTGGTACAATCTAACGTTAAGCAAAAATGTGCTGGTTTCTTATATAATGGTATGCATGTAACTGAAGCATTTAGAAATCATGATGCTAGTATTCCTCCACTCAGTGTGAAAAGCCTGATGGGAAAATAAATTTCTCCATGTAATGTCCTGGGGCTTGTTCATATAGGTCCCAGGAGGGAGATCACCTGAGCACAGCTACTATCCAGCCTGAGCGTCTCTCTGCCTGAGCGTGTTCCTGGATGCTGTAGCTGGTGTACTTGGCATCACAGGGCCAGAGGAAAGTTAATGGCTTTGGGAAGCGCTTCAACAAACAAGCGTTGGGGCTTGGTGAGTAAACCCGCCAACTTCATTACCTCTGACTGACACAGTTGTGAGGTACATTTCACTTTATGTTAGACATCTCAAAGAATTGAGCCCCAGTTACCCAGAGATGACCCTCTCATTACCTCACTCTCTGTTGGCTTCTTCTGCTTCCCTTTTTCATTTTGCCACTGTCCTATGTGCTTATCCAAATCAGTTACCAAATAATTTGCATTTAACTCTGCATCTCAATATTATTGTTGGTGTTCCTTTCTCTCTTACTACTTTTGGGAGAATCCAAACAAAAACAAAATTAATGCTCATCTAAACACAAAGTGAAAAATACTGTTTGAGTACTAGTTATAGCATTAAATCACAATGTACAACACATTAAGGACAGAGAACCTACATGAGGAGTAGGTGCACAGTGACTCCTGTTGTTGACTTAACAAATTGACACTCTTGTTTATGGCATCAGTAACCACCCTAGGCTCTTGTCATGAGTTGCCAAGGCTATGGAAGCCTTTTGAGTTCACCGACTATGATCATATTTAGACAAGGTCGTAGTCGTGTGGAAGTTCTCTCCTTCCTTCAGAAAAAGGTACCTCCTGCTTTGATGACCCGTTCTTTCCACTGGGATCTCACTCGCAGAGATCTTTCATTTAGGTCATTTTTTTTTTTTTTTTGCCAGAGTGTCTTGGCTTTCCATGCCTAAAATACTCTCATGGGCTTTTCATCCGGATTCGCATGCCTTACGGGCTGATTCTGAGGCCAGAGTGCTGTTTAGGACATCTGCCATTCTATGAGTCTGCTGTGTATCCCGCTTCCCATGTTGGATCATTCTCTCCCTTTTTTATTCTATCAGTTAGTATTAGCAGACACCAGTCTTGTTTATGTGATCCCTTTGACTCTTTGTCCTATCATTATGATCAGTTGTGAACAGAAATGGATCACTTGGACTAGTGAGATGGCATTGGTACATGCCACCTTGATGGGATTGAATTAGAATCCCCTGGTATGTTTCTAACTCTACCATTTGGGGCAAGTCAGCTTGAGCATGTCCCAAATTGTACATCTTTTCCCTCTCTTATTCCCAATCTTATATTTAACAGGGATCAAGTTCACTAGCAATCAGGGAAATGCAAATCAAAACCACAATGAGGTTTCACCTCACCCCAGTGAGAATGGCTCACATTCAGAAATCTACCAACAACAGATGCTGGCGAGGATGTGGGGAAAAAGGGACACTAATCCACTGTTGGTGGGAATGTAAACTGGTAAAGCCACTATGGAAGTCAGTCTGGAGATTCCTCAGAAACCTGAATATAACTCTACCATTCAACCCAGCCATCCCACTCCTTGGAATTTACCCAAAGGAAATTAAATTGGCGAACAAAAAAGCTGCCTGCACCTTAATGTTTATTGCAGCTCAATTCACAATAGCTAAGACCTGAAACCAACCTAAATGCCCATCAATAGAAGACTGGATAAAGAAATTATGGGGCCAGCGCCGCGGCTCACTAGGCTAATCCTCCGCCTTGCGGCGCCGGTACATGGGGTTCTAGTCCTGGTCAGGGCACCAGATTCTGTCCCGGTTGCCCCTCTTCCAGGCCAACTCTCTGCTGTGGCCAGGGAAGTGCAGTGGAGGATGGCCCAAATCCTTGGGCCCTGCGCCCTATGGGAGACCAGGAGAAGTACCTAGCTCCTGCCATCGGATCAGCGTGGTGTGCCGGCCACAGCACGCTGGCCCCGGTGGCCATTGGAGGGTGAACCAATGGCAAAGGAACACCTTTCTCTCTCTCTCTCTCTCTCTCTCTCTCTCTCACTGTCCACTCTGCCTGTCAAAAAAATAAAAAATAAAAATAAAATAAAATTAAGAAATTATGGGACATGTACTCTATAGAATACTATACAGCAGTCAAAAACAATGAAATCCGGTCATTTGCAACAAAATGGAGGAATCTGGAACACATTATCCTGAGTGAAATAAGCCAGTCCCAAAGGGACAAATATCATATGTTCTCCCTGATCGGTTGTCGCTCCCTTGCCCGCAAAGGAACGATGCTACTCGCAGCTAATCGGTCTTCCGTAGACTTTTATTATGAGAGAGAAAATAACAGCAACAGAGGTAGAGAGAAAGGAAGGAAGAAGAAAAAGAAAAAAAGGGGCTTCCTTCCTCATAGTACGGCTTATATACAAAATCCAACCAATCACAAGCGGGCTAAAGTCCATGCACGGAATCCTCCAATCCAATTCCTGTTCACGCAGTGTACAAGCGTCCTTGGGCCAATCAAATGAGGTGTCATGCAGCAGGCACCATCTTGTTGTTTACAGCACTCTTAGCTCCTCCAGGAAAGCCCCGCCCATTGGAAAGCACCTGGTAACTAAAACTAAAAAACATCCGCCGACACAGCATCAGCTGCCAGGCCAAACCTTGACGTGAGGGACCCATGGCTGGCCAGCCCATGGGGCCCCACAATCGGTGACAACTAACTGTGCACCAAAAAGGAAACCTGTTGAGTTGAAATGGACACTATGAGAAACAGTGACTTGATCAGCCCTTGCCCTGACTGTTGATGAACAACTTAATACTTTATCCCTCCTAGTATTATTTGTTTGTTCTACTTAATACTATTGCTTGAATTCTGTAATTAATACACAGTTATTCTTAAGTGTTGATACTTAACTGAGATATGCTATTTTCAAACAGACTAGATGAGAATTGTTGACTTTCTTGTCTGCATCTCAATGCATTTGTTTCAAGCATATTACAAAAATGTGTAAGCATTATCATTTTAAAATATCCATGTGTCTGTGACAACAAAACAGAAAAAGGAAGGCTTTGGTTTAATATAGGTTTTTTTTTTTTAAGATTTATTTATTTACTTGAAATGCAGAGCTACAGAGATGGAGAGACAGAGAGATCTTCCATCTGCTAGTTCATTCCTCAGTTGGCTGCAATGGCTGGAGCTAGGCAGGTCCTAAGCCAGGAGCCCTGAGCAATTCCAGGGGCCCAAGCTCTTAGGCCATCTTCTGCTGCTTTCCCAGGGTTATTATCAGGGAGCTAGATCAAAAGTGGAGCAGCTGGGACTTAAACCAGTGCCTATACAAGATGCTGGAAGTGTAGGCCTTGCCTTTACCTGCTATGCCACAATGCCGGCCTCTAATAGAGCTCTCATAACAACTTACCCAATTCCTTTACATATATAAAAATACAGCAACTCAAAACAGAAAGCATATTTGTGATTTGAGAAGTCATTTCTGTCATACTAGAAAGGATTTTTCAAGTAATTGACATAACTGGAGAAGAGTAGTTATGTTTTCCTGCCTTTTGGCCAATTCATAAATGTTAAAGAAAAATCAATGTCAAATTTTGAAACAGATCCTTCAAATTGTCCTGATTTTTTAAATTATGAATTAAATCCTGAGCACACAAAGTCAAACATTCTGTGATTTATATGTTGAAGCTATAAATGTTGACCTCATAAAAGTAGAGAGTAGAATAGTGCTTAACAGCAGTTGAGATGATTGGTGGAGAGATTTGGATGATCTTGGGCAAAAGATACAATACTAGTTATGTAGGAAGAATAAGTTCAAGAGGTCTATTGTACAACATGGTGAGTCGGTATGGTTAACGGTATTCTGCATTGTTGAACAATTTTATGAATGTGGCTGTAAAGTCTTCTTTCCATAAGGTTGATAACTCTGTAAGGTGACTCATGTTAATTAGCTAGATTTAACCATTATGCAATGTATATATTCTTCAAAGCATCATATTGTACACAGCAAATATGTCTAATTTTATCTGTCAAAAATGTTTTGGGGAGAATGAATCCTGGGAATAATTCCTTCATGTTTCATTAAAAAGATTTCTCTAAAATAGTACAGAAGTACATTGATACTTAGATGGTACTTAGGGATCAAACAGCAAATCTTGTATGATGGACACAGATATTAATCTTGCTCCAGTTCCGTCAATTTCAAAGAATGAAAAAAAAATTAACTCTTATGGTAAAAATGGTTGTAACTGGGAGGTAAAGACAAAGAAATATCATAAATAAAATATATATTATGCAAATACATATATATATTACAAAGTACATATATATGTATATATATATATATTTTCAAACCCTTAAGCACACTCAGATGAGTAAAGATCGTTGAGGCAAATATTGAAGGGATTCTCAGTTAGTAATTCAATAGGACTGAGTAATTGAGCAAAGAATGACATATTCAGAGATGCAGAAATGATAATTCCTGATTCCTTATTACATCCCACAATATACATTACCTATATGGATGACTTTAGGCAAGTGAAGCTTGATAGTGATAGCCAATGAAGATTTCTTTTGTCAAATTGTCGTGTAAGATGTTTCTTTATTCATTTACTCTGTGTGTGTGTGTGTGTGTGTGTGTGTGAGAAGGAGAGAGAGAGAGAGAGAGAGAGAGAATCTCCCATTTGTTGGTTTCCTACAACAGCCATTGTTAGGCCAGTTTGGAATCAAAGTGTGACACACCCTGGTGGGTGACAGGAACTCATTACCTCTGTCATCATCTGCTGCCTCCTAGGGTGCTCATTAGCAGGAATCGGGAACTCTAATCAGAGCTAGACTCAAACCCAGGCACTTCAAAATAAGATGCAGGCATCTGAAGCTGACACTTAACCATTGTGGTAAATGCTGTTCTGTCCAATAGTCTTATTTTAATTGTGGTAAAAATACTCCTATTAGAAATAATCTAATTTGGAAAACTATAGAATATTTAGTGTGTAAAATGTTTTTCTTTAATAATGGTCCCCTGAAATCAACATGGATAGTTGACCAAGGTTTCTTACCTATTTCCTGTTTGGTGACAGAGAATATGTAACTCGATGTTTGAAATATCTGGATCCATAGTATAGTTTTATATGTCAATATTATTTTGCGTAGTTTTTGTGCAAATAATATGTCTCAATATTATTTCACATAATATTTCTGCAAATAATATTAGAATTTAATATAATTTTCAAGATAATATGACAAGCAAAAAGATTTGATGACAATTATTAAGCACAACTTAATTTTGAAAATCGAATGTAAGTTTTTGAAATGTGATTCATTTTTACAGCTTACCAATTGCACAGTTCTTTTTAGAATTTTCCTTATTGGATATACTTTCATAGATACCTGTCAACATAAGTTTTCATGCAGATAACTATGTAATTTAACAGACTGAAATGGCAAATTAAAGCTTCTAAAGAAGTTGTCACAGTGTAATCTGGAAGCAGCCATGGTAGGAGAATCAGGACTCAACATAGAGACTGTACTTTCAGGGGTGTATGGGAAAGATCATGTAGTTTTAAGTAAGGGGCAGTAAATTCTTGCAGTGCATAGGTGATGAGAAAGTAAGGAGATTTTAAAGAAAAAAAACAGAGGCTGACTTCATACAGACCTCAAAGTTTGAGCAGAAATTTTTAACTCCTTAGAAAGGAGAGTTTTTGATAACTTTTGTATAATTCTTTTTGATAGGTATCACTTTTCTTGAATGGTATGCGACTAGTCTCACTGGACAAACTTTACAGCCTTTGCACCTAAAGGAAAGCATCACTGGTAAGAAATTTTGCATTGTGTTCATTTCAATATTCTGGCAGTTTCTAGTCATATATTAAATGTCAATACTTGCTTGATGCTTTAGCGTTTTCTCATAATGTCAATAGTAAGTGAAACAGCTTTGCTATGATTATATTCAAAAGAAGAAAATCAAGATAGAAACTGCATAATCTTTGGAAGGCTTGGAGTGACTGCTCTTATTTTATAGTTATTTCATCAGAGTTGTTTTTCTTTTGTGAATAGAATAGCATATGTTAGCATCTGAAAGTGATACTGAAAGGCATGATTACCTATTTTTAAAACTCAGGAACCCAAGCACCATTTCTTTATGATTTTAAGTAAGTGTGCCTTCTATTAAGGCATTAAAATATGTTAGTATAGACTTGGAATCCTAACACCCCATTGTCAATAGCATTAGCAAATACATTACTCTGAAACTGTAGTATTCCTGAATGAATGAGAACAGATTTTCCATCTATGATATCGTCACCTTGCAATTATCAACCGCTGATACCTAGACTAGAGATAAGGGCCCATTTGCATTATGTATTTACTTCAGAATCTCTTGCTTAAGTCAGAAACAGGGAGCTGTGAATCCTAAGTGTCCAGTGAAAGCTTTATACATGATTTTACATGCAGCCTGGATGGAATCATATCTAAGCAGTCTGTCTAATACAAGTAAACTGACTGATCTATTTCGCTGTTTAAGCAGGAACAGTACTTTTTTCAAGAGCTTGTCTGTTTTAAATTTTCTTCTTATTTCAGGAATTCCATTTATGATTTTAGAAATCAATGAGATATTTAAATTGAGTTCCTATATGTTTCCAGATTCATGTTTAGAATCTTAATGGTTCAATTCTCAGTTTGTACTAACGAGCTGTTCTTTTCATCTTACAATAGATACTAATGCACCAGTTTCATAGGAGTCTTTGTTAATGAAAGTGACTGGGGGAGGTGATTCTTATTATTAGAGTTTCCAGTGGCATTACTATGTGATCAATATCATGCAGAAGAATGTGTAGCAACTATTGTAATTTTAAAAGTCAGTGTGTAAGAAAATATTTTGCTCCAGTGAAGTACTCCCAGTTTTGTGAAGTGTGTGTATCATGTTTTATTGTTGGATATGTAGTGGAATACCAAATGACTTAACATAGGGAAAATGAGACTTCTGAGTTTCCATGTTTAGTGAAGACTTGGGTTTACGTGATGCCAGATGGTGTAAACTCCTGTGACAGCTCTTGATTAGTTTATATTAGGAACCACTGCTTTAGACTCTGGCATGTAGAGATGGCCTGGGGCTTTCTGCAGGCTGTGATAAATATCAGATTTGACGCATTGAAAGGCTACCATTGGCTTCAGTTTTAACAGCATATATGATGATTTTGTAAATATGTTCTCTAAGAAATCCCCAAAATATTAATGCCACAGCAGATGGTGTGACTGCAATATAAAAATCACTATGTCTATCAGGAAGAAAAATTGTTTTATTAAACTTCAGTGTGATAAAGATTGATGCTAATTAAATATGTGCTTTCAACAGAGCCACATATTTTAAATTAGTATATAAATATTATTTGGATGAAGGTTAGTGTGGCATATGCTTTCTTTCCAGATTAATAAGAATATCTCATGTTGCTTTTTATTCCAGGTGGGGAGGAGCACGCTCCATACCTTATTTCTTTTAAGTTACATCAATTTCTTAATGCCAGAATACAAATCCATTTTAATGTTTAACCTAAGAATTAATAACAAATTTGCATTCAATGATATTGATCAGCTTTGTTTTTAACAGCTTTCTTTACTCATTAGGGAAATGATGTTGAGTTAGAGGAAATAGATACAAGGAGGACAAGAAGTCATCAAGTTGTCCTTTAATACAGAGAAATTCAATCTGATTTAATGTCTCCCAAGATAATGCAGTTTCAGGCAGAATCAAAGATGAAGGTACAAAAAGAAGAAAAATGTTGACCCAAGGGTCACAGAGTTTACGTAATAAGTACTATCTGGGACTTTAATGGTAAATTTTGGGGATTTGCTCACTATATATTTGTGCATTATAGATTAAATATGGCTACGCACTTTTGTGACTCTTTAAACTTAGGGGTGACTTGATTTCCCCTTTCCTTTAATCTGGGCTGATCTTGAATACTCTACTCACTAGAATTTTGCAGAAGTAATTCTATTTGGACTTTAGAGTACTGGCAGCTTTTGCCTTTCCCATGTTGGAATGATCACTCTTAGGACATTCCTTAGACATTGGACACCACACTGTGAGAATCCCGAATACATAGAGAACCCACCTGAAGGTGCCATTCGATAGGCCAGGCAAACTTCTAGTAAAGCCAGCATCAATTTCCGGACATAACTTGTATGACGAGCTGTCTCAGCTTACCTGTCATCATCTGAGCCCTCAGGCAGCTACCACCCATTCTACGTTGTCTAGCATAGAAAAACCACTGAGTTGAGTGATGGAAATCCACAGAAATGTGAGAAATAGAACGGTTGTTTCAAACTCCTAATCACCGAAGTAGTCCATTGTACAGCAATAAGTAACTAAAACACTGTTTTATATCTTCTAAGGTATTTCTGATATTTATGAATGAACGAAGTGCAGGGTGTAGGACCTGAAATTAGAGTCATTCCTAGGATAAGTACTGAATGATAAACTCAGGGAGAGTTGAAAGCAATTCCAGTTGGCTGGCCAGAGCCTGGTATCTACAGCACATGTTTTAATTATGTAAAAATGGTGAGCAGAAAATAACAGGTGCCCCAATTAGACAGTGTTTACATTTATATTTACCTGACATGTTTTCCAGAGGCAGTCATATGCCAAGGCTCATAGGCCAGAATCCAAGAAGTTTCCCCTTTTTAATCAGGATATAACAGCAGATGATGACTTTATGCTTGCTTCTGAGCAGAGCTAGACACAGACTTTAAGAGAGTAAAGCCATGCCCCTTCCCCCAGGGTTGGAGGAACACTCTTCTAAAAATGTAAATTTATAAATATAAAATTTTATTGGAAAACAAATGTTTGTTAGAATTGTAAAAGAAATCAAAGCAAACTATGTATTTTTAAAAGTTGGCAAACTGGGGCTAGTGCTGTGCCCTAGCAGGTAAATCTTCCACCTGCAGTGCTGGCATTTCATATGGGCACTGGATCAAGTGCTGGCTGCTCCACTTCTGATCTAGCTCCCTGCTAATGCACCTGGAAAAGCAACCAAAGATGGCCCAAGATCTTGGGCCCCTGCACCCACATGGGAGACCTGGAAGAAGGTCCTGGCTCCTGGATTCAGATAGGCCCAGCTCCAGCCGTTGGAGACATTTGGGGAGTGAACCAATTGATGGAGCATCTCTGTTTCTTTTCTCTGTCTCTGTCTCCATCTCCCTCCCCATAACTTTGTTTTTCAAATAAGTAAACCAATCTTTAAAAAAATAAAGCTTGCAAATTTCACCATATCACAAATCCAGTGAAAGGACATATTTAACTTCATGATATACTTCCATAATACATTTTTATGATGTTTACTCTGCCTTTTCATATGACAATGACCTTTTAAATATGGTTTTACATAGAATAGAAAAAAAATTCACTCCATCTTTATTAATCAAAATGTGCTTGTTCTTATCATTCTCATCTTATTATAAATAATCTCACATCCATCACTTTGGTAGGAAGTTGCTAATATTGGCCTCGTTTTTCCAGGAAAAAAAATCTTCAGAAAACACCAGATCTTCATTCTTCCTTAGAATGACCTCTGATGCTGCAGTTGGTGCAGCTCAGCCAAAACCTTGCTGTCCTGTTCACCCTTCTATTACCACCTCCTCTCACCTGTGATCATTCTTTGGCAAGGAGCTTGCCATGAAGCAACAGCATCTGGTTCACATATCTTCTCTTCGGGGGCAATGAAGAAAGCTCAAAAAGACCTTCTGGGGCAGTTTGTGGTTTATTTATTTATTTTTTTTCTGGGAACTGAGTAGAGATAGTTCTGAAAGTTCACCAGCATTTGCTGAGCCCAGGAATTTAAAGAATAATCTCTAGGAAGATGGGACTTCTGGTGCTTGTCCAGAGGCATTGTTTCCTCCAAGAAGAGAATGTTCTGAGCCTTGGGAAATGCTCTTCGAAAGGGAAGGGACTGAAATTTGAGGTTCTTTGGCTCTTGGTAAGCCTGCCCCTAGTTGTGTGGGTTAGACTCAGGTTCCCTTATCTTCCTGCTTTAGGTAAGGATTAGAAGCCCAAGGCAGTGGTTGGGATAATAAAAAAAAGTCCATCTGAAGGAAATGAGAGCTGGTGGCTAGAGTGGAAACTGTGCAAGTCTAATGATAAAATCAATGCTTCTGCTTCAACCCCCAACATTTTGGACAAGATATGTGTCTTACTGATCATTACCATATGCTTTATATTAGTCCACTTTCACACACCTCTCACTTCCAAATTCTGAAATACACACAGGAGTTTGGATCCAAGTGCATCCTGATTCATTTTACATGAATCAGTTCACTCACAGAAGGTTGGCAATTCACACCTCTCTTCCTACTACACCAGGATAGGTCAAGGATGGGATTCTAAGGGGATGCATATGGGGGTTGGACTTACATGGCTTTCTGCTCCATGAGCCAGCTTTACCATTTGAAAAGGCCATTCCCATTGCTTGAAGAGAATCAAATGGGAGCCTTCCAAATATCACAAGTTCTCTTCTTAATACCTCTGAGATAGAAGAAGCAGCAGCACTGTGGTGATGGAGAGGGCTCCTTTAAGAGTGGCAAAGCCAATGGAGGTCCCTAACTTAAGAATTTGCTGTGTCCAACACAATGATCACACACATTGTCTGAATTACTATAGGTGTGCTTTTGTCAGCAGGGGTAGTCATCTGATTCTTCAGATACTGGATGTGACAAAACATGTCTGAGATTTACCCAATCCTTACTTTCAAGAGGAACACTCCTAGATTTCCAAGATGGGTTTACTACTTATAATAACTTGTTTGAATTGCAAAAAAATCAGTAAGTCTATAAGTTTCCTGCCTCTGCAGGAAGGAGCCCACGGGGTCTGTATTCACCTTGGCAGTCACCATTTCCAGGACAACGTCAAGACTTGTCTGATGTTTCTCATTGCCTTTTGTGCTCACAGGCTAGGAATGCACCACACCTTCATGAGCCAAAGCACAGATCCTAATTACTCCATCTACTGTAGAAGACTTAGTGGCCCCTTCACACCACATGTTCTGATGTTCACCTTGAAGTTTGTACACTTTGCCAGTATTCTCCATTCAGAGCCCTGCTCTGTCAACTATGACTCCTATTGATGTGAATTTCAATTAATAATCCTGCTTCAAAAAAGTGATAACAGCTGGCTAAGTTGATATTCATTTTTAAGATTTATTTATTAATTGCAAGTCAGAGTTACACACAGAGAGGAGAGGCAGGGAGAGAGAGAGAGAGAGACAGAGGTCTTCCACCTGATGGTTCACTCCCCAGATGGCCATAATGGCAGGAGCTGCGCCGTTCCAAAGCCAGGAGGCAGCTGCTTCTTCCTGTTCTCCCATGTGGGTGCAGGAGCCCAAAAACTTGGGTCATCTTCTACTGCTTTCTCAGGCCATAGCAGAGAGCTCGATCGGAAGTGGAGCAGCTGGGTCTTGAACTGGCGCCCATATGGGATGCCGGTGCTTCAGGCCAGGGCGTTAACCCACTGCACCACAGCGTTGGCCCCTAATTTTAAGTTTTTTAAAGACATTTTATATGTTTTATTACATTATATCTTCATAATCATGTGAAGGGATTAATTCACTGTTGGATGAAACAATAGTTCTAGTTGGTCAAAACTTTAAACTGGGGGGCAGTGCTGTGATGTAGCAGGTAAAGCCATCACCTACAGTGCCAGCATCCCATATGGTCAGTGGTTTAAGTCTCAGCTGCTCCACTTTCAATCCAGTCCCCTGTTAATTGCCAAGGAACGTGGTGTAAGATGGCCCAAGTTCTTGGGCTCCTGCACCCATGTGCGTAGGCCTCAAGGAAGCTTCTGGCTCCTGGTTTAGGACTGGCCCGGCTCCAGCCATTGTGGCCATTTGGGGAGTGAACCACCATGTGGGTAATCCCCCTCCCCCACCTCTGCCTTTCAAGTAAATAAATATTAAGAAAAGCTGTTTATGTTATAAGTGATATGACTGTAATTAAAAAAAAAAACTTTTATATTATTCCAAAGTCAATGATCTTTTTCCTGTACCCCCAAATTTCATGGATGTTTTAGAACTTTATATGTGAAATGACAGTACACATGAACAATGTTAAAAAATAAAACAGAAAAATATGTATATCAATAATCTCTTTCTAAATAAATTAAATTGCATATATTTATGAAAATCTGTTACCTCACTAAAAGTGCCAGGCCATATCCAGGGAGCTGAGTTAGAAGTGGAACAGCCAGGACTCATACCAGAGCCCATAGGAGATGCTGGTGTCTTAGGTGTCAGCTTTACCCATTATGCCACAACAGCAGCTCCTCCTTAGACACTTTTAAAGATCTGATTAGCACTAAATAATGTACATACTTCTAGGGTACAATGTAATATTTCAATAAGTATATACAATGTGTATTGATATAAACAAGATAGCTTAACATTTCCCTTTCTTTGTCATTACTTTAAGTTTAGCGTCCTCAAGCTCCTCTCCTCTATTTGCTCTGAAAATACGTGTTAATTTACCATGCACTGTTGTTGCCCTACTGTGCTTTGGAATTATAAATAATTGCTTCTATCTTACCATTTTGGTGCTTGTTTTCTTTTTCTTTAAACTTTTATTTAATAAATATAAATTTGCAAAGTACAGTTTATGGATAACAATGGATTCCCCCCCCATAACTTCTTTCCCACCCGAACCCTCCCCTCTCCAGCTCGCTCTCCCCTTCCATTCACATCAAGATTCATTTTCAATTCTATTTATATACAGATCAATTTAGTATATATTAAGTAAAGATTTCAACAGTTTGAAACCAAACCAAAACACAAAGTGTAAAGTTCTGTTTGAGTACTAGTTATACCATTGATTCATATAGTACAACACATTAAGGACAGAGATCCTACATAAGGAGTAATTGCACAGTGACTCCTGCTGTTGACTTAACAATTGACACTCTTGTTTGTGGCGTCAATAATCACCCTAGGCTCTTCTCATGAGTTGCCAAGGCTGTGGAAGCCTTTTGAGTTCGCCGACTTATTTAGACAAGGTCATGGTCAAACTGGAAGTTCTCTCCTCCATTCAGAGAAAGGTACCTCCTTCTTTGATGGCCCATTCTTTCCACTGGGATCTAACTTCCAGAGATCTTTCATTTAGGTTTTTTCTTTTTTGTCAGAGTGTCTTGGCTTTCCATGCCTAAGATACTCTCATGGACTTTTTAGCCAGATCTGAATGCCTTAAGGGCTGATTCTGAGGCCAGAGTGCTGTTTAGGACATCTGCCATTCTGTGGGTCCGCTGTGTATCCCACTTCCCATGTTGGATCATTCTCTCCTGCTTAATTCTATAAGTTAGTATTAACAGACACTATTCTATTTGACTCTTAGACCTATCATTTTAATCAACTGTGCACTGAAATTGATCACTTGGACTTGTGAGATGGCATTGGTACATACCACCTTGATGGTATTGAATTGGAATCCCCTGGCACATTTCTAACTCTACCATTTGCAGCAAGTCCGATTGAGCATGTCCCAAATTGTACCTCTCCTCCCTCTCTTATTCCAACTCTTATATTTAACAGAGCTCACTTTTCAGTTAAATTTAAACACCTAAGAATAATTGTGTATTAATTACAGAGTTCAACCAATAGTATTAAGTAGAACAACAAAATACTAAAAGGGATAAAGTATTAAGTTGTTCATCAACAGGGCAAGTGCTGATCAAGTCACTGTTTCTCATAGTGTCAATTTCACTTCAACAGGTTTCCTTTTTGGTGCTCGGTTAGTTGTCACCAATAAGGGAGAACATATGATATTTGTCCCTTTGGGACTGGCTTATTTCACTCAGCATGATGTGTTCCTCCATTTTGTTGCAAATGACCAGATTTCACTGTTTTTGTTGTTGTTGTTGTTTTTACTGCTGTATAGTATTCTACAGAGTATATGTCCCATACTTTCTTTATCCAGTCTTCTATTGATGGGGATTTAGGTTGATTCCAGGTCTTAGCTATTGTGAATTGAGCTGCAATAAACATTAAGGTGCAGACTGTTTTTTGTTTGCCAATTTAATTTCCTTTGGGTCAATTCCAAGGAGTGGGATGGCTGGGTCAAACGGTAGGGTTATCTTCAGGTTTCTGAGGAATCTCCAGACTTCCTTCCATAGTGGCTTTACCAGTTTACATTCCCACCAACAGTGGATTAGTGTCCCTTTTTCCCCACATCCTTGCCAGCATCTGTTGTTAGTAGATTTCTGAATGTGAGCCATTCTCACCGGGGTGAGGTGAAACCTCATTGTGGTTTTGATTTGTATTTCTCTGATTGCTAGTGATCCTGGACATTTTTTCATGTGTCTGTTGGCCATTTGGATTTCCTCTTTTGAAAAATGTCTATTGATGTCCTTGGCCCATCTCTTAAGTGGGTTGTTGGTTTTGTTTTTGTGGAGTTTCTTGATCTCTTTGTAGATTCTGGTTATTAATCCTTTATCTGTTGCATAGTTTGCAAATACTTTTTCCCATTCTGTGGGTTGCCTCTTCACTTTCCTGACTGTTTCTTTTGCTCTACAGAAACTTTTCAATTTGTTGCAATCCCAAATGTTAATTTTGGCTTTGACTGCCTGTGCTTCTGGGGTATTTTCCAAGAAGTCTTTGCCAGTACCTATATCTTGCGGGGTTTCTCCAATGTTCTCTAATAATTTGATGGTGTTGGGTCATAGATTTAGATCTTTAATCCATTTTGAGTGGAATTTTGTGTAAGGTGAAAGGTAGGGGTCTTGCTTCATGCTTCTGCACATGGAAATCCAGTTTTCCCAGCACCATTTATTGAATAGACTGTCCTTACTCCAGGGATTGGTTTTGGATCCTTGAT